GACAGGCCTCGATGCGATAAATAATCCAAAAGGCTTTGCACAGGGCATATGTCAGAACGGGGGGAAAGCGTAATGGAAATATGAGGTTGGTTATAAGAATGTTTAAAATCGTCAAAATTGATTTTAAGGCCGACAGTAGCACCAGACAGATCCTTAAGCTTAACCACCTGTTTTACTTGAAGAACCGCTGGCGATCGGGGGCAGTATGTAATTTCTCCCACGCAAAAAAGCAAAAAATGCCGTTGTGCAATGGCCTTAAAAAGAAAAGTATTATACACACTGGAACACAACGATGGCGTAACCGCGATTATGTTACGCAAAATTGGTAAAGTTACAGGCAGACGGCTGTCAATGCGTGGACCAAGCTTCCGATAACCTTTCAACATTTCCATAACCCAAAAGACTCTAGTAGGTCGGGGGTCCCAACCAGACGATGACAATAGCCAAGTGCAGATACGTAAGTGTTAGCAGTCGATGGCGCGTATTTATGTTGGAACATGTAAGCAATAAACAAGCCTAGGTGTGATGGCGTCAATGGCATCGAAATAGCTGCCGTGGCCAGCACGGATTGGGAAAACTGAGAATAAAGTTGCCATGCCCGGCGGTAGGTTGGGATCGATGATGCCTGCAAACTAGACTGCAACAGAGTAGACATTATAGCTGCCAGTTGTGTGGCAATAGATGTACCGGTATAATTGTCGGAGTCGCTTGCACGCCCGCTGGTGCTAGCTGCTTGAACCGGGAAACCAGTAAGCGAGATAGTGAATCAGCTAGACTGTTCTTAACTCCTGGAACATGCTGCGCCCGAAAAAGTATATTAAATTGTAAGCAGGCCAACACCAGCCGGCGAACAAATATCATAACTGTTGGATCGCGCATAACTGCATTATCTGTGAAGAAAATGATCCGCTGATTTTGCATCAAATGGCCCCATAGTAGCACACTCAAAACAATCGGATAAAATTCCAAAATAACAATATTAAGTGTTTTCTACTGGTCAGGCCATTCACCGAAAGACCAAAACCGACCGAATATAGCGCCAAACCCAAAGTCTGCGGCCGCATCTGTATACAAATTTAAGCTGCAAGAAGTGGACCAATTATCCGCAAGAAAAAACGATCGGCCATTGAAATCATCCAAGAATGATTTCCACATACTCAAATCCGCCTTGACAGAACGACTAAGCCGAATAAAATGAGAAGCGCATGTAATGCCTCTGGTTAAGTCAATAAGACGACGTAAAAACGCTCGCCCAGGTACGACAACAGAACAGGCAAAATTAAGAAGCCCGATTAATGACCGTACTTCTTTTAAAGTAGCCTTCTTACGTTGTGAAAAAGCTAAAAGCAGGGCTTGCGTCCTCAGTATTTTATCAGCAGGTAAACGAGCCTCAAGCTTCATGGTGTCTAATTCAATAACCGCGAATGTCAAGGTGGTGTGAGGGCCAACAGTCTTTTCAGAAGCAATTGGTACACCAATATAGTCACATAGAGATGAAAAATTCCTCAGATGAATACAACACTGGTCATATGATGCAGCAGCCATTAAAAAGTCATCGAGAATGTGAATAAGATGCACAATGTTGAATCGTTTTTGCGCAATCCATTGGAGAGCAGTGCTAAATATCTCAAAGGTACGACATGATGATGCACATCCCATGGGCATGGCACGGTCATAATAAAAGTTGCCTTGCCAAAACATGCCAAGAAGATTATAATCCTGAGGGGAGATAGGAATAATGCGAAATGCGCTCTGTATATCAGTTTTGGCAAGATAACAACCCGGTCCAAGGCGTTTTATAAGAGATATTGCATCATCGACGCGACTATAAGTTACAGTAGAATGCTCGGGCAAAATACCATCGTTGATTGATAATCCGCGAGGAAAAGACAAGTGATGTATCAAGCGAAACTCCCCGGGTGTTTTCTTTGGCACAACTCCCAATGGTGAAACGCGAAAAGTAGAAAAGGGGGGTGCTTGAAACGGTCCAGCAATTCTATTTGCGTGCAGTTCCTTTTCCAACTTAGCACTGACTATCTCATGGTTTTGGTCTCTGGCATATTGAATCCAGCTGTGGGCATCTGGAAGCACTAAGGTCCTATCCTATGTAGGCATATATTCCCATGCTTAAGAAGCTAGTGTGGCCGATTAAATTAATGCAAAGGTGCATAAATTTAAGAAATTGTAGTACGGACAGGACAAAACGTAAACAAACACAACAATAATCAATATGTTACAAAGAATACGGTCACAGCCACAAAGTCATGAATAGCTTCCGTACCTGAGAATATAATTGCTGAATTCTCAACGTGGGCATCTGCAAACAGCAAGTGCTCTAGCCCATAAAATATAACACATATAAAACCCTTGGGCCCCAGGGAAAATCCGTCTCGATCATACAAATTTGCATGAAGGGAAGACGGTCAATAATGACTTTATTAATATTCAAAAGTGCATGAGTATAAACAAAGAATATAAAGCCATAAATAAAATTATTGACTATAGATAAAAAATGCATGATATTGTAAAATACCAGGCTATCATTCATGCAGCTTGTGAAGGGCCTTCAAGATCGCCCCACGATAGCTTCGGTACAAATTATACTGTCCTTGCCGATTACAATGCACCCCATCGAAGGGCAGCAAGCCAACATCACTATTTACATTACCGAAATCACGGTGTTCCCAAAGAAATATACGCGGCTCATTTGCCAGCACCACGCTTAAATACTGCCGTAAAATAGCAGCTTTGGCATTAAATGACGAATCAGGCGTCGCTGAATGCGGTAGGTTACGATCGATAACCTGACACACCGCAACAACCTGAACTCGTAGCTCGTCGCGAAAAAAGCGTGCAAGCTCCTCGATCCGCGAGCCAACCACCTCCCGAGGAAGAGAGCACAAATCATTAGTGCCAATTTCCAAAATTATAATATCCGGTTTAAAACTAGAGATCACAGATATATCATATTTCAGTTCACTTTCTCCACAGTGCGCCCGCCTGTGCCCTGCAAGGAAACACAGACACCTGATCCTGCCAGGTTAAAATTTTGTTTTGCGCGCGAATCGAAACCCCTATTTAAATCGTCGTGTAAGCGGCGAACAAATGAATGGCCAAATATCAAAACCTGAGGCTGAGCAATAAAGGCCGACATATTTCTTTAGGAAAGTCGTGAACGAAAACAAAAACAAACACACAATACCTTGATGCAATCGAAGACGAAACTGACTTGAGATCTTGCACCAATGACAGCTTCAGAGGAATGAATCACGCACAGACAACTCGTGCTTATTTATGTCCCATGTATTACCATGCGATTGCTTCGTGAAGTAAAATCCCGCAATGTAACAACTTTTCCCTGTGATATTCTGTCGCGTGCGCTAGGTCACTATGTAGCTAAATGCATATACTATATATTTAAATAGAACGTGGGAGGCAATAAAATTAATATTCGGCGAGCAAATAGTGCCTTTATCGGTAGAATAAACAGTTTTAAGACCTTTTAAGCCACCGTGTGTGCGCACCGTGTGGCAGAAGCGGTTGTGCTTTGCCATTGAGGTATATACTAAGGGTTAAATGAAGTGTATACCGGAAACCACACGCATAATCAGAAAACCCAGAATTCCGGGCGCCAGAATATGCCTGTTCGCAGGTAGTGCTGTGAATAATATAGTTAATAACAACTAAAATCATAACCAAAGACACCAAACACGGATCAAAATTGTATTGTACGTGGAAAAATTGGGAATCGACTCGCATTACCTCAATATCCCATTCCCATTTTTGAGGACTTCATTTCCCATTCCCAGTGGTCAAATCCCAGTCCCAGCAACCCATATCCCATTTTGCCAGTCTAAAAATAGATCAATCCCAGTTCCCATTTTACCCCTTAAGGACCCTCAGAAGACGGTAATTGCCGTTTGAAACGAAACAATCTGGACTCTGAACGCTCTCTTCTTTTGTCGAGTTATTTACCAAATGACATATAACTGAAATAAATATCGTACTTTCCGCCGCCAACAAGAATTGCACAGACGATCTGATAAGTGAGACAATTTATTTATAACAATGGCGATAGCGAATCACACATTAATGCTAATGTGGTCGCACGACTTCCCTCACGATTTGAAGTTTGAGAATGGTTTTATGTTGAAATTCGTCCTAATTTGCCTGTTCCGATTTTAGTTGAAAATGAGCACTTGCAAATTTGGAAATTACAGACTGCGTTGCTTGCTTTTTTTGGAGTTAAAACGCAGCCATTTACACATTGTTTCTATTCTGAATAAGCAGAGAAAACCCAGCAACATTTTAATGCCAGTTTGTTTGTTAATATTTGGGTTGCTGTCATTGATTCTTTCTGGACAATTGACGCGCGAATGGGGCGTGTTATTAAAAGGGGCGTTTTACAAAATACCGGGTCTTGCTTGCAGGCCCACTATTCTTCCCTGGGCCTGCACGCGGGCTATCTATTGTTTAATGATTCTAGTTAAGGGGTTTTTGCTAGGGTTTTTGCATCATACTACACTATAGTATCCAGGAGACCCCTGTTTCTTCTCTGTACATGACATGAAGACGAAATTTATTGGCCACATTGACAAACATTAAAATTTGCTATTTTTGTGTTAAAAGCTTGTTACCATGGCAACAGCGTGCTTAGAAAAATAGGTACGCTACGCGTACATGTATCTGCGCAAAACTGGAGTCACATTTAGTATTTTCTTGAAAGGAAATGAATAATAATAATAATATTTATATTGCACAAATTAACATGTTATAGTATATGATCAAATGCCCATCACAACATAATTACACTAAAATGATTCTAAAAAATATAAACAAGATTATATAGATTATATGTTACATGAAGTATTTACGTTAAAGGCTTCTTGAAAATAATAAGTCTTAACTAATTTCTTGAAAATACTAAACTTATGCAGATTTCTTATATACATAGGTAATTCATTCCAGATTTTTGGAGTGGAGGTTACGAATGCTCTGTCGCCAAGTGTTTTCTTTGTTTTTGTACTATAGTCTTCAAGCAATGTGCTTTTGTTAGATCTTAGACTATAGCATGATGTATTTCTTACTTTTAAAAGATTGACAAGACAGAGAGGTGCATACTGATGGCTACATTTAAAAGCAAGCATAGCAATTTTGAACTTGATCCTTAAGTGTAATTTGATGAGAGTCAGAGTGATGTGATCATGTTTAGGGATAGAACAGATAAGACGTGCTTCTGTATTTTGTAGCTGTTGTAGTTTAGACAGATGTACATCTGTGACACCAATGAACAATTGAAATATATATTTCATCACTTATATAATAGCAAATTAGATATTAAGATCAAGCATAATACACATCTACCAGAACTGTAAACAGGGGAAAGAGAATTTAACATACTAATTTCACAATGTCATTTTGATCATAACAAATAATCATGCAGTCACGAAATACAAATTCCATTCAAACAATACTACACAATATGATTTTATTTATTTTATTTTTTTTTTTTTTCTGTGTCGGTGTAGTGTACTCAGGTGAATATGATATTTGTGGTGTTATTTGTGGTGTTATTTGATACTCTGAGTGTATATCCACACCGGGCGAGCTTGAAAAATATGCCCGGCCACGGTGGGATTCGAACCTACGACCTTTGGAACACCAGCCCAATGCTCTTCCAACTGAGCTACGCGGTCAGGACGGTTCGAGTAAGTGATATTTCGGAACAGAATCTAGTTCCTTCAATACCAATGTATTCTAGTAATATATTTTTTTTTTCTGTGTTGGTGTAGTGTACTCAGGTGAGTACTAGAATACATTGGTATTGAAGGAACTAGATTCTGCTCCGAAATATCACTTACTCGAACCGTCCTGACCGCGTAGCTCAGTTGGAAGAGCATTGGGCAGGTGTTCCAAAGGTCGTAGGTTCGAATCCCACCGTGGCCGGGCATATTTTTCAAGCTCGCCCGGTGTGGATATACACTCAGAGTAACACCACAAATATAACAATACTACACAAGTTCCACAAAATACAATACTTTTAAAATTAATATCACTAGCATATATTATATACAGTAGAACAAAGTTTTCAGGTCTAGTTTTCATATTGAATGAAATAGCTGCTATAAATTCCACTTGCAGTAGTATTTCGGATTATTACCATAACAGTAACAAAGGTTTCCTTAATAGGTCAACTGAGTTGTGACATCATAATGTTGATACATAAACTGGGATGTCACACTGATAACTTGACAATCTTCTTTATCATTGCCATATAATCGAGATATGCAAAACATTTTAGATGCCATAGAGTCAGGATAGCATGCAGGTGTTGTCACAATCCATACCATTGACATATATATAGCATCCAAATTTAAACAATAAACAATATATATAGAAGTTAACATTTCCATTGAAATCACATATATGTCAATTATCCATACTCATAGAATTTTGACAGTTTTTCAAAACTTTATTGTATATAAAATCACATGAAGAAAATTTTTGTCAATTGTTTATATTTATAATGCATGGACTACATTTGGATTTGCCAACAAAACTGTTCAGACTTGAGTAATATACATAAACTATTTAAGGAACATAAATTATTGCAGCAAACAGGTCAATCATACACATTCAAACTTTTTGGTCGTATAATAGTAGCAATACCACACATATTAAAAAAAAACTTTTGCTGGAAATATAGCTCTTTATATTTTATACATCGTAGAAATTGCATTCATGTTTAATTAAACACTAGTAGCGAATATTGTTTACACATTAGTACATTGAAAGTTGTTGATTATGATTCTTTAATTCTTACCTTAAAACAAAAACTCTTCAAACACAGTTCAAGTCGACAAGAGTAAAAATATATAAAGTACTCCTCGAAATTAGCTCGAAGTTTTTCGCGTACCGCCATGTTGATTTAGCCTGCGAACAGGCTGCTGCAATTCTACGGTTTTGTCACTGATCTATATGTTCTACACTGAATAGTCATTTCCGCATAGTGCGCTGATTGGCTAGGGACGGTCACAAGCTAAAATACTAGACACTGATTGGCTGCAAGCTAACAGCTAACAGCTAACAGCTAACAGATTTCGCAAACTCGATAGCATAGTATATCTGCTGCGCAGATACAATAAAGCTCAGAATTTGTCATTTTCCAGCCATTTTAAAAATTCCTTGCGGTGAATTTTTTTAAAACTTTGCATAAACGATAATTCTGGTATAATGATTTTCTTCTTGAATTTAAAAAAATTATATCGACACGTTTCTTAGAAAATTTTAAAAAACGTCAAAAATCAATATTAAAAAATACCCCTACGATTGAATTTTAAGAAAAAAGGCTATTGCATTTGTTGAGCCGATATTAAGAAATGTGCGAAGTTTTAAAAAATTTTACCGAAGGAAAAGGGAGAAATTTAGCTTAAATTTTGGCATTTTTTACGAAATGTGACGCAAACAATTCTGATCATGCACATCTGACGTGTGCACGCATTTCGTAAACAACAAGGCATGATTTTGTTAAACTGATTACAAAATATAAATTATGTTTGATGTTTAACAAATATAAAACATTTTCCGTGTTGATATACAGTCATATCAACACGAGTGGAAATTGGGAAAACGAGAAATTGTGTGGAAACACGACGCCCGAAGGGCGCGGAATGTTTTCACACAATTTCAAGTTTTCCCAATTTCCACGAGTGTTGATATAACTGTATGTCAATACGGAAAAAATGTTTTATATTTGTTTTATAATATAGCACAAAGAAACATAAAGAAAGAAATTTTCCGACGTTTCCGTGTTGACATTGAGTTATATCAACACGGTTCTTAGCCAGAGGTTCTTAGCCAATCAGCGTTCAGAATTTACAAATGCTATATTATAAACTGTTTTACTGCGTCGGTTAATGGTCAACTATTAAAGCGTTGATGTTTACATGCATGCAAAATTGGCAAAGATATTTAGGTAATTCCTGTTTGTGACTTGTTGGTATTAATTTGAAAATGTTTGTCAAAATTCGTCCCGTGCGAGTTTATATATAGTACTGTCGTGATTCGTCCGATGTTTTCGCAAAACGCCCGCGTTCAAATTTCAGTTATACGGTGGTATGTTTGTGGAGTTTCAGCCCTGCTCATTTCACTCGTAGAGGGCTCATTATTTAAGTCATCTTTATTGTCAGAAGTGCTGCTAGATTGTGCATGCAGAAAACACTGTAAATACTTGAGGAAACTTTATTTCCAATGTTCGCGAATGCGAACCTCGCGTACGGCGGTCAAAAACGTCTAAAATACCGCTTGAAAAAACAAATTTACACTATCTTCTTCTGAAACATCACATCCAAGTATCGTTGTGGATTTTAGAACTCTTTTTTATGCTTTAAACTAAAGCAAAGTTCACACATTTGTTTCAAAAAAGAGTTCCATATAAAACATAACTTTCGCTCGTAGTTTGAAGTCACACGAGTTCAATAAACGCGATAGTTTACATATATACGAAGAACGTGACCCCCGGAAATAAAACCCTTAATTGACAAGGATTTTCCTGTATTTCGCTAAATTTTGGACGTGTTGATTTTCGACAAATATTTTCGTCGTCATAAAAATCAACAAAACTGCAAGCATTGTTAATAACCACTTCAATATCGCTAGTATTCTTCACCAAGACAAACATTTTAGAACAACCTGAACTGAAGTTTTATAATAAATGTTTAAAATCAGGAAAACTTGGAAAGATAGAAGAAGAAAAGCACTTAAAACAGTAAATACTCAATCAATTTTAATTGCTCAGTCACAAGAGTGCAAAAAAAGTAGGACAAGTAGTCTATAATAGTAAACAGTGAAAATTTTATGCCAATCTAAACACTGATGCAATATTTATACTGAACAGTTGACAAACTTGATTAAATCGGCTACAAACTAAAGCATTTAGACCGTAAACATTACCTGCAGCTTATTTTGTATTTATTCCGAATGATACAACACGGTTCACTTTTCAAAATACCGAAATATACGGCTTTATCAAAAAAAAACTTACTTTGATTAATGTTCATACAAATTCATCATGAAACACTTGGCCAGTATTAAACAGCTTTTTCTTGCACATATCTTGGCAAGTGATTGAAAACAATACAGTAATGAGCAGGCAACAAGAAAACAAAAATTTACCTCAAGGCCGTCCCAGATTAAAATCCGAATGTGAATGCGAGGTGCATACTGGCGTCGTTTTCACGTTGTTTTAGACGTCGCGTCGTGTTTTCTAAATCTATCCGTGACAATCGTATACGACTATAGTCGTATCGTGTAAATGGGCCTTCAGATTGCGTTTGTGCATTCTACATGTATGTGAACTGGCTATTGCTGAATATATAGTTAATTGATTGATGCGCCAGCTGTTGGTAGCTGTTGCTGTATGGTTGGGAAGAAACTAATCTGTGCATGGCTATAAATTTAGTGGTATATTCTAACAAATAATCACGACGAGTCTTTATACTTACATATTTAACCTCAAAAATGAGCCTGACAATGGTAGAGAATCATCTTTTGCGGCTAGGCAGGCAGTCACGATTATACTGCCAAGAATAGTAACGCCTGCAAAGCAAACTAGACGACGAAGCCTGTATCTGAAAAAAAAACCTATTGTAAATGAATGGCACAGGTATACTTTGATTTTCTCTCTACGCATAATTTTGAACCTCTTTTTACTACTCTTTACTAGGCCTAAATACACCTGGTGCACAAAAACATAGATAACAAATGTAACATTTTCTGTGGTTCCGCCAGGGGCAACAAGTTCAACCAGACAATATTTTACTATTGACATAAATGCAATACTCAACCTCGTTCCCAGGTCTTTCTTATAAGGATGAGGGGAGAGACGAGAAAGCCCTGGTCTGGGCAGGTCAATTTTGCATTCTGATTGGCTAACACAATATTGTCTAAAAATAACTGAACTTGACAGTTGACAATAACAATTCAAATTTGTATTTTTATGATTCTTGTGTGTACGCGAGTATATGTTTTGCAAAATAATCTTTCAAAGTAAGACGATTTCCCGACTGCATGATTTACTTTCGCCTCGGCCGGTTACAAAATTGAGCCGTGTCGACGTGAGCTGAGACGTGAGCCTGACAAAACAAGAAACGTCTACTATTATTTAAGCTGTAGTTCTCCTTGTACAGTATTTATAATGTAGTGCAAATGTCTGATGAAATACTACGCGTATTCTATACTGGCAAATAAAAGCAAGAGTGCCAAGACAAACAATTAAATGAAACAAATAAATTACGCCCAGGCCAATGTAGTCTCTACAAGATTCGTCACGCCACCGAGTTTTACAGTTTCAGAATACCCTGGAATACTTGAAAATTGCGATTATACGATAAAATAAAACAAAGATTGTGAGGGGGATAAAATTTGTATAGGCCAGCATTGCTCCTGGACAGCAAGTTTTGGTGCCCGGCGAAACAAGCGCACCGTATGCTACGTAGATGAAAATACCACCATTCGATTCAGCGAAATAATATCTCCTGATTTCTAGTGATAGCTTTAGTCAAACACAAATATTATAGCGATTTATGACCTTTGAAGGGTCGAGAGGTATCATATTTCAACAAATTACATATTTGTTCTAAAAATGTAAACAATGTAGCACTAAAACCATGCCTTTTGCTGGACACAACTTTGGCCCCTTCGAACATGTGTTTTTCATTGTAGTCTTGTTTGATTCACAATCAAAAACACTATTTACAGTGTTATTTTGAGGCTTGTAGCCTCGGGTTTTCGTCTTTTATTTCGATATTTCATTCTGTTGCGATGTTAGTGAAGTCAACGGGATATTTTTTGACCGGAAATGCGATTTTGCAGAACTGCAATAGTGAAGTGAAGTGAAATGAAGTGAAAGGCTTTATTTACTGAGGGTAACACGTGACAGTTAGAAACTGATAAACTTGTGGCCCTCAAAATTTACAAAATTTAAGATATTAGAACATAGTCCCTATTTAAAGTTAAAATTATTAAAACACGACCCTAACGCTGCAACCTATTTGCACATTTTTGATCATCTAAAAACTGTTTATAAATACTACGCCTAAAGCTAAAAGAAGAATGTATACTTCTAACGTTCAAATCTAATTTGTTCCAGTCTATAATTGTTCTTACAGTGAAGGTTCTGCCTCCTTCTGTTTTACGATTGTAAATTGGGCATAGCATATTCAAATTCGAATAACGTGTATTCCTACTATGCCTGTCTGAATTTCGCGCTAAAAGTGAATTTAGATAGCTAGGAGTATTATAAGCACTATTTACACGCTTATACGCTAACATTATTCTCTTGATCAAAGACTCCTTGGTAAAAGGAAACCAATTTAAAGTGTTAAACATAACAATTGAAGGTGCCATCTTTTCTGCATCCAAAATAATCCGGGCTGCCCGCTTTTGAAGTTTCAATACTCTTTGAAAACATTCAGCATTGCAATTATCCCAGATTACACTCCCGTACATCATCGTAGGCTTTATAACACTATTAAAGTACAACTCCCTTTGCTGTTTCTTGAGGTACGGACTAATGTGTTTAAGAAGACCAAGCTGTTTCGAGAGTTTCCGACATAATCGATCAATATGTTCTTCATAATTTAATCTATTGTCAATCGTTACTCCAAGGAGTTTTTGACAATTTACTTCAGTAATCTGTGTATTATCCACTTTAACTGCTATGTCCATATTCCCTTTTTCTAAGATTTTCTTTTCAAGACGCTTTCCTGATATAAGCATAAACTTTGTTTTTTCGTCGTTAATACTCATCTTATTTTGAATCGACCACTGATTTAAGGCAGCAAGATCACAATTTATATCATGGACCATTGAGGGAATATCATTCCAATGAGTACTTGCAGATAAGGTTGTATCGTCTGCAAATATATCAACTGATGAATGTGATAGATGGAGTGGAATGTCGTTTACATATAGAAGAAACAGTATAGGTCCCAGTACTGAACCCTGCGGCACACCATGATTAACAGGCAAACGACTTGACTGCTGTCCATCAATAGTTACAAATTGGGATCTTCCAGTGAGATAAGATGTGAACCATTTGATTGCTGAATCAGCTACTCTATACAAGTGTAATTTAGACAATAGGACTTGATGGTCTATTAGATCAAAAGCCTTTTTAAAATCAACAAAAGCCATAAGAGTAACTTCGTCTTTATCCATATTAAGTAATATTTGATCTGTAAGATTGATTAAGGCTGTCTCTGTAGAGTGTCCTTTACGAAAAGCAGATTGTCGTTCGTAGAGTAACCTATTGTTGGTAAAGTAATCCATAACGGATCTAGCAACATGTTTCTCGCATATTTTAGAAATGACAGGTAGCACAGATATAGGTCTATAATTGTTTTTATCATCACGTAAGCCAGATTTATGTAAAGGTGTTACCCGTGCTATTTTCCATTTTGTAGGAAAAATGCCTTTGTCTAGTGACATATTTAAAAGCTTTGTTAATGGATGGAAAAACACCGGAGAAACCAATTTCAAGATCTTCACACTAATACCATCTACGCCAGTAGCTTTCGAGCATGATAAATTGTTAATAAGTTCATTTACTTGCTCAACAGTTATAGATGGAATGTTGTATTGTGTGACAAAATTGTTGATTTTCGTTGAGACAAAGTCATCAATAATTTTCGTATCCAAAGGATTTGTTAAGACTTGATCGTTCTGTATTTGTGTAATAATACTTACAAAAAAGTCGTTTAACATGTTTGCCATTTCCAATGCGTTTGTTTCGGACGAACCGCTATCCCTCTTTAGCTCAATGATCTTACTTGATTTTTGTGCCTTAGTCAAAATCTTCAAAGCATTCCAGATTCCTTTGGGGTTTCCTTTATTGTTTTCGATTGTTTCTTGAAAGTAATCACGTTTTGACTTTTTAATCAGATTTACAACATGACATTTGGAGCGTTTATAATTTGCCCAATCATCAATAGCATTTGATTTCCGCGCCCTTTTAAGATCTTTATCACGTTTTCCGATCGCAACTACTATCTCATCATTTATCCAAGCCGGCTGTTTAAAACGTTTAACCCTTTTCTGCTTCAATGGGATATGATCTATCACTATTTGATTAAAAAATATTTCAAGTGTTTCAAGAACGTCATCAACGTCGTCAAAGATAAAGGCATTATCCCATGGGCATTTACTTAAGTCTTCGAGCAAGTTTTCTACATTCAAGTTCTTAAAGTCATGGTAATTTATCACTTTATGTGATGAATCCTTATTTATTTTAACATACTTTCGACATATAAACACGGGTAAGTGATCGGCAAGACCAATGTTCGGCACAGTTAAGTATTGTGGAGGTTCATATCTTCGGTTCAGTACATGCTACGTAGATGAAAATACCACCATCCAATTCAGCGAAATGCTATTTCCTGATTCATAATGATAGTTTTAGTCAAAGACAAACATTGTAGCGATTTATGACCTTTGAAGGGTCAAGACGTATCATATTTCAACAAATTATATATTTGTTCGAAAAATGTAAACAATTTATCACTAAAGCCATACCTTTTGCCAGACACAACTTCGGCACCTTCAAACATGTATTTTTTGGTGTAGTATTGTTCGATTCACAATCAAAAACACTATTTACAGTGTTATTTTGAGGCTTGTAGCCTCAGGTCTTCGTCCTTTATTTCGATATTTCAATCTGTTGCGATATTAGCGAACTCAGCGGTATATTTTTTGACCGGAAATGCGATTTAAATTCGCCAAAACATCGCGTGTTTACATCCTAGCGCTCGGGAAACGTCGGAAATCGATTCTAAAGGGCATGTAGTAAAACACTGACTACCGGAACACCGGAACACCACCGGAAAACCGGAACACAACCATTTTGTTTGGGGTTAGGGTTTGGGGTTAGGGTTAGGATTGGGGGTTAGGGTTGGGGTTAGGGTTAGGATTGGGGGTTAGGGTTGGGGTTAGGGTTAGGATTGGGGGTTAGGGTTGGGGTTAGGGTTAGGTGGTGTTCCGGCGGTGTTCCGGCGGTGTTCCGGTGTTCCGGTAGTCAGTGTTTTACTACATGCCATTCTAAAGGTCAAATTACATCTGCAGCATGATTTGCACGTGCATCGGGCTACGGGTACTTCTTATTCGCCTTTTTAGCGTGTGGCAGGCGCGTGCGAGAAAAACCAAGAAAAACCCGATATTTTTAAAATCTCAAAATAAACATTTCTACTGGCTGTATTCAAGTGAAATTCTGGATATAAAACCGCTTGAATACAGCACATATTTCACTCATATTGATTTGAGCCGAACTCTGAAGAATTCACAAGTTATTTACGCTATTGTGGAAACGAAATTCCGAAATTTTGACCAAGCGGTGAGTAAATATATGATTGTTTCGGTTGTGTAATGCTTTGACGGCATTCAACCTCCCGTTGAAAAGGTTATTTTATTAGGATTTCAATGGTATTCTTTGTTTTAAAGGGGGGTGAATACGCGCTGAGATATTTACGTTATAAACAATTGAGTTCTAAAATCGTCAAAATGTCGCTTGTCGATAAAGAGTACTAAATATTAAAGGCAATAGCCATATTGTTCAAGACGAGAGAAAGCAAATTTCGTGTGAATCACCACTTGCATGGAGACGCCTAGATGCACCTTGGATGCACTTTGCCTGTGGTTGAAAATCTCCAGAAATATCGGTATATCTTAGAAAACATAGACGGGGTCTTCAGAGATTTCAGCTGATTCATGCCAAACTTCGCTACACATAAATAATATCGATTGAGAAGTCTTTTGGCTGTTTACTTGTTTCAAAGACTTGTATATTTCATTAAAGAATATGATCGCCACTCCTTGACGAGTAGCTGTCAAATACTGCCATTTTTTGGGTAGTCACGTGACCGGCCCAGACCAAGGCTTTCTCGTCTCTCCCCTCGTCCTTATAAGAAAGCCCTGGGAACGATGTTGTGCAATACTCTTTAAATACCTGAATACCAATTACCTGTATGCAATGAGGAGAAAAATGGGAGAAATGACAAACATTTGCATATCAGCTGACAAGTACCATGTGTGAACCAAGCATATCTGTATGTATGGGAGGGAAAAGAAAACATTAGCGTGGTCAAATTATTATACTCCTGTCGGAGAAATACTTAAAGTATTTTTCGCTTATGGTTTGGCCCATCGCACTTCGTGCTCGTGTTCCCACGCAATTTCTCGTTTCTCCCAAACTTTCACGCGTGTTTCTATAACTCTATAGAAACACGGAAAATGTTTTCTATTTCTTAAATATATACTATATATATATATATATATATATATACACTATATATATATATATATATATATATATATATATATATATATATATATATATATATATATATATATATATATATATATATATATATATAACTACAGACGGTACCGTTTCGGCCTAATGGGCCTCATCAGTGTAGTGCTGATGAGCAGGGTGAAAGTAACTTTTATTTATAGTTACCTTTGATGCCTCACGATTGTGGGACATCAAAACCATGCCAGAGCGCTCAAACTGCAAGCAGTGAGCGTGCGCAATGCGTAAGCGGCATGGCTCATCCTGTAGAGCGCTCAATATGACCTAAAGGCCATAGAGCGGATATCTAACTACAGACGGTACCGTTTCGGCCTAATGGGGCTCATCAGTGTAGTGCTGATGAGCAGGGTGAAAGTAACTCTTATTTATAATTACCTTTGATGCCTCACGATTGTGGGACATCAAAACCATGCCAGAGCGCTCAAACTGCAAGCAGTGAGCGTCCGCAATTATATATATATATATATATATATACAAGTTGGGTTTGTCCACTTTGCTAGAGTGCTCAACACAGAGATTGTGGAGCGAATTATATTTCGGAATGTGAAATTCAACTAATTTAAAAACATTAAAAAATTAAAAACTAAGTTCATTTTTAATTTTTTAATGTTTTTAAATTAGTTGAATTTCACATTCCGAAATATATATATATATATATATATATATATAATATATATATATATATATATATATATATATATATATATATATATATATATATATATATATATATATAATCAAGTTGTAAAATGATAACCTATATTTATTATGAAAGCGAAGAAAACTGAATGCCTGAACAAACGCTCTGACTTGTTTTCCAAATGTAGACATGGAACCAGATACCTGCTTAATCAAGTTGTAAATGATAACCTATATTTATTATGAATATTGAATAATATCTGTCAGTTGCCTGATGATCGCGTAAAGCGTGAAACTCAGAGTAGCGACGCAAACATTCAAACCTTGACTGAATTAATATATATATATATATATATATATATATATATATATATATATATATATATATATATATATATATATATATATATATATATATATATATATATGTGTAACTACAGACGGTACCGTTTCGGCCTTATGGGCCTCGTCAGTGTAGTGCTGATGAGCAGGATGAAAGTAACTGCTATTTACAGTTACCTTTGATGCCTCACGAATGTGGGACATCAAAACCATGCCAGAGCGCTCAAACTGTAAGCAGTGATCGTGCGCAATGCGTAAGCGGCATGGCTCATCCTGTAGAGCGCTCAATATTACCTAAGGGCCATAGGGCGATATCTAACTACAGACAGTACCGTTTCGGCCTTATGGGCCTCATCAGTGTACTGTTGATGAGCAGGATGAAAGTAACTGCTATTTACAGTTACCTTTGATGCCTCACGAATGTGGGACATCAAAACCATGCCAGAGCGCTCAAACTGCAAGCAGTGAGCGTGCGCAATGCGTAAGCGGCATGGCTCATCCTGTAGAGCGCTCAATATGACCTAAAGGCCATAAAGCGATATCTAACTACAGACGGTACCGTTTCGGCCTAATGGGCCTCATCAGTGTAGTGCTGATGAGCAAGATGAAAGTAACTCTTATTTATAGTTACCTTTGATGCCTCACGGTTGTGGGACATCAAAACCATGCCAAAGCGCTCAAACTGCAAGCAGTGAGCGTGCGCAATGCGTAAGCGGCATGGCTCATCCTGTAGAGCGCTCAATATGACCTAAAGGCCATAGAGCGATATCTAACTACAGACGGTACCGTTTCGGCCTAATGGGCCTCATCAGTATAGTGCTGATGAGCAGGATGAAAGTAACTCTTATTTATAGTTACCTTTGATGCCTCACGATTGTGGGACATCAAACCATGCCAAAGCGCTCATATATGTATATATAACTACAGACGGTACCGTTTCGGCCTTATGGGCCTCATCAGTGTAGTGCTGATGAGCAGGATGAAAGTAACTGCTATTTACAGTTACCTTTGATGCCTCACGATTGTGGGACATCAAAACCATGCCAGAGCGCTCAATATATATATATATATATATATATATATATATATATATATATATATATATATATATATATATATATATATATATATATATATATATATATATATATATATATATATATATTTCCTTGAGACACAACTGTACGAAAGGTTCAAGGAAAAGTATGGACAGGACGAAAAAGAAAACTTCGTGAAATTGTTTAAACGTTTCTTAGACGACTGCTTTCTACCCTGGCAGAAGACTGAAGCAGAACTCGAGGAACTTCATAAAATGTTAAATTCACTTCATCCAAAAATACAGTTCACGATGGAATATGACAATAAGAAACTACCGTTTTTGGATATACTACTCTACAAGAACGCGGAACGGTTAGAAAGTGATATACATTACAAACAAACGGACACACACCAATATCTGGATTATCATTCATGTCATCCTGGACATACAAAATCAAACATTCCCTACACACTGGCAAGACGGATCTGTGCAATTGTAACAAATCAAGATTTAAAGAAGAAGCGTCTTGATGAACTAGAATATTTCCTACAAAAGCAGAACTATCCGAAATTGCTTATAAAAAAACGGAATACAGAAGGCTTCATCAAAAAACATTGAGGAATTGAGGGCACCAAAACATAAAACTGATGACAATGTCTTGCCTTTAGTAATAACTCATAATCCCAACAACCCTCAAGTAATTGGAAAAATAAGGGAGAACTTTAAATTTCTAAACAATTCCGAGAAAATGAAACGAGTATTAGACAGAACAAAACTCATTGTAAGCAAACGCCAACCGAAGAACTTGAAGCGATACTTGACAAAAGCACAATTCAATTCAGAGGACAGAGAACA